AATGTTCATTAATATACATGGATATCGGCGAACAGAAATAAACGGATTGAGATCTGAATTTGTTCACCATAATACATGAATTTGCATGAACGTGAAATAGAAACTTCTGTCTAGCACATAAGTACGTAACGCGACAGCTAATTTGTCGAATAAAGTTCGAATAGCTTTGGAGACGACGCATCGCTGCTCCGGGTCACAGTGCATCGCCGTGTGCCCTCTTTAAGGATGCATTTAGGTTCTTAGACTCGAGGAAAACCGGGGAGTTTCCTTCTGGATATACAGACTGACCCAGATGAAAAAGGAGACGAACTTGCTGGGCAATTGACTGCGATAATTATGCATATGATATATTTTATGCATTTAACTATGCATATGAAGAAATATATTATCTCATTCCGAAAGAGACTTTCAATTTTAACACAATCAAATTTTAAATAATATACGAAACAATACATAAAATAATGTATACGATAATACATGAAATAATGTGTAAAATATGAAATAATATATGAAACAATTCATCAATAAATTTCAGATGATATAATATTTTTAACTGATAATCAATATAGTATGTTATTATAGTAATTTAATACGAAAAGCATAATAACAAACGTTGCTTTGAATAATCTACCAGTCTACGTGTATAAATTATAAATTAACCGAATACTCGTAACGCAACACAGTGTTCCACCATTTTACACATAATTTCCACACGCTTGTCTGTATGTCTACTCGCCCTTCTGTTCTTCTTGGAGCGAAAAATAGAAAGGAAAGAAAAAGGAAAAATATCTCGAATGGAATTTTCGAAAAAGGACGTGGACGACACCGGTCACTCTAAAGGGTCGAGTCCCGTCGGTTTACCCGACGAAAGATCCGATACGATAGTAGAAGGCAACGAACTGGATGGCCTTCGACGAAGCGTACTTCATCCGAAAGAAACAGCCACTCATGGCCGCGATAGTGTGAGTATTCCTCGAATTCTGAGGGTATTCCACGCGACCGAGGGTGAACACCGCGACTTGGCGCCAGGCCAAGTATTACGTCCAAGCATCCCGAGCATCCACCCCTTGAACCCTCTCCCACCCCTCCCTCCTCCCTCCCACTCGACCCCTCTCCCCTCCGCCCTTTTAGCCTTCCTGCCACCCCCCCCTCCCCTCCCCTTCTATCCTATCGCCCCGATTCCCGAACAAACGCGTCGCCGCGCCGCGGTTTTTGCATTCCTTCAAGAAGGAAGTGCGCTAAGACGCTTGTCGTCGCTGAAATAACCTCAGGAGTCGAGGCCAGCGGGACCTGTTCCGTTTGTTTGCTCAGTCTAACCGGGCTGTTTCTTCACTCGGTTGGATACTTGCTACCGCTTTGTCGAACGTAACGTGCCGCACATTGTTGCACAACGTAAAGTATCGATTCGCACGTCCATATATATTCCGTTTCTATCGCGGCGTCCGCACGCCGGAAAGTCGTTTCTTCTTCTCGTGTTTGTTAGCCGGAAGATCGGCTTATTGGTTTCAGTTGCTGTTATTGATATTAATTTGAATTAGATTTTATTAATCATTGAACTTCGTTTTGAAGAAAATGAACGTCGGTAGCAACCTTTCCGGTTGATAATGATTTGTTTGCTCAATTTTATTAGATTCAGTATATATAGTTTAAATAAATATTATGGATTGTACCGGAAAAAAATTGCCTGTTTTCGGAACTGATCTCTCGATCTTGCAACTGAATTTAGTGCCGAAGAATAGATTATTATGAGACATCGATCGCTGCAAATTTAAAAAGGTCCATGTCTATTAACGTACCGTACGTTTCGACATGTTGGTCGAGTAATCTAAAAGATCGTTCCTAAAATAAATTTCTATAATTTAAAAAAATCCGGTAACTCGAGAACTGATCGAATAATTTAAAAAGTTATTCGATACGACCAAAACCCCAATCCAGGTCATTTTCTGGTATAAACTGTAACGACATCTCGATTTTATCGAGTATTCGTTATTTCATAAATGTTTACGCATTGACGTTGCAAAGTCTCTGCAGAGATAAAGAACGTTAGACTGTTCGAACGAGAACGAAACGTTTCACCGATTTATCGTCGATAATTCCACCGACAAGTTTCCGCAGTGATAATCCTCTGGTTCTTTTCACCGATATCATCCGACCGTATCGTTTTATCGCTGCGGAAGCACGGGCGTTCAACTCGCGTGTATGTACGTGTCCCGTGTAGTCCTGGCGAGTTTCGTTTCGTTTATCTGTCGATTAACGGACTCGCTGGTCCGTGCACGTGCCACGCCAAGACTTACCACGGATTTAGGGACTCGATGGACTGCACAATCCACTGACTTCGATCCACGCCCTTTCGTTGTTCAATCGCGTTCGACGGTTTAGGATACGTTCACTGTTCGTTCGTGTATTCGTGTCAATTGGCAGAAAAGAAGGAGGAGAGCACGACCCTAAAAGCAGTCGGAGGGTGGCGACCGGAAACAAGAACGAATCTCGAGGAAAGAAAGAGCAAACGAAGAACGAGACGTTACATTTCAAGGAATTGACAAACTCTCGTTCGGTCTGTCACTCTGGGATCTGAGAATCTACGTGAATTAAAATTCGTCGTAAATAGGAATAATTTTTTAATTACTTCACACAAGTAAAAGTGTAAATTCAAAGCCGTGCAAACAGTGGGTCTTAGGTAGAAAATTGTTAATTTTAGCTACAGCGTTTCATACGTTTTTACGTATCATGTGGATTAATTTGAATGTTCCTTGCGATCGGTCTTGCCTCACTGGAATCAAACTCGATTCCAAGATCAAGAGACCAATATACCGCGAAGATGCTATTTCGATCGATCCGAACGAAATTAAATGACAACTGATCATCTCAAGTGTCTAAGCCGAGATTACGCGTATTTTGGAAAACGCTGTTTCGATGAAATTTCAGGATGAATTTCAGGTAAGGGAGGCAAAATATAGTCGAAGGTTCAACCCGGGCGGATTTGGCGAATCCCTGGCAAGATGAGTTTCCACGGATAAGTCTGAGCCAGTAAGTAGGACGATAGGCGGAGGCGAAATTGCCTGGTAACCTTCGACCTTACAGGGCCGTACGAGTCCCGATAATTGCGAACCTGTTATCCCTGTCAAAGAGGAGCTACTGGCTGACCCAGCTGCGCGAAATCTTCGCTTAGTCGATCGATTTCACGATGCTCTGGTGGTGTTGACTCGCTCCAACGAAGAACAAAGAATAAACCTTTTAGTATCTTGCGATTCTTTTACGCATCATTGTGAATTACGAGGCGAGGTGAATTACGTGAGAACAAAATGTGCAAAAATTGGTACTTGTATTTGAGTTTATCTGAGACGAAATTTGGTAGTTAATATGTAGAACAATTTTCCTCTTTATCATATTACCAAAGATATGAATTTGAATAAAAGTTCGTAATTAATTAATTATTTAGTTCATTCGTCACTGAAAGGAATTTGTATTGCGATTATTCGAAATATCGTAGATAATGTAAATACATATTCCTCTCCAACAAAAATTATTCAAAATTCATTCCATCTCATATGAAAAACATTTTTCGCAGAAACAGATATATATTAGCTCTTGGATACTTACTCTGCGTGTAACACTCATATCAGTCATTCAACTAACTAGTCGTTATCACGAACGAGTACACTAGAGAAAAACGGGACGAATCGGCCATACGCTGTTCGATTTCCGCGAGTTCTGAATCGCTATCGGCAAAAGAGTCTGTTTGTCGAGATTAGAGATACGAATTCGCGGATCTGCATACGCGATCGAATTAATTAGCTTAAGGCGACCGAACGATCGACCGATCTTCTCCGGCCGATTTGTCAATTTGTCGATTTGTCGAGCTCGCCACACCTGTTGCGCCTTTATTGTAAGTACATGAGATGTCGATTACTCTGTTCTAAAGACGTACACACGTTCCTGACAAAAGAATCGAAAGCTCTCCGAAGTTCGAGTGAGATTTGAAACAAATCCGTCCACAGATTTGTCAGACAGACGTCTGAATATAATGAAATTAATTTGGTAGATTATTTGAAGAATATTAACTCTGTTGAATGGAAATTAATTTCATAGACGGCTCGAGGAAAAACACAAAATATTCCAGGCGGAACGTTAAATTCGATTAAATTTATGAAATAACATTGTGAAATATCGAAACAATGAATTTTTCTATTGATAACTTCGAATAGAAAAATAAAACTTTCTCTTCGTATGTGAAAATATTCGAAAGGGTAATACGCGACATTCGCATTCCTTTTTTTGAATATTCGTTGTATTCTCTCGAAATTTTGATCAAAATTATCTTTCACGCAAACCAACAAATATTTCGATTATTCCGCGGACCATGAACTGCACTACCTTGCAATCAGCCCTATCTATCCTACCGTGCGAATCACTAATGAAGCAGCCTTTCCAATTATCGACGAATTGCATTTAATTGGATCAGCGGAAGAAGTCCTTTGTCCGTCAACAAAATGGAATCCCCGCCCCTGGCTACTTCAACCGCGAAATAGTTTGGATCGATGGAACATTAACGTGGAATCAGTAATCTCTCCCTCTCTTTCGACTGCGACAACGCCATAAAATCCTCCATTTTACAACTTTTATGACCTTTAATCTCTTAAGGAAGATTGGAAAATTTTTAACAAATCATCCGCCAATATTAAAACGTGCGTAAAACGTGTAGGAACACTGATACAAAATCCAACGTCTATATCTGAAAACAGATTAAATTAAACAAACATTGCACAATTTTTCTCACTATCGATAGGAGAATTCGCAAATTTAGCTACTTGTCCTTTTATTATAGATATTAGTTTTTTTCTTTTCACCACTTAAATTTGACACCAGATTAAAAGGGACAGATTAAGTTGGAAAAACTAGAGAGGGATGAAGGTTGAAGTTCCACAGTGAGTTGCTGAAGAAGCGTTTTTCAATGAGTCAACTCGTCGTTCCCGACTGAGAGATTATTGTGATATACTCACAGCTCGCTCCTCGGTCTCCACGATAAGATGGTTGTTCTTAAGGGTGAGGGTGATGATGTTCCCGTTGGCGTTTTTATTCCCCGGAGGAGTGTACTCCACCGGAGTGGCGCTGGCCACGTTTACCTCCTCCATGACCTCGGTCTCGCAAATGTACCTGGGTCTATCGAGACCGTTCACCAACTGAAACAAAAAAAGGGAAAGAAGCTGAGGTATCTGCTCCCCGTGGACACTGTAAGTTAATGTAGAAAGTGCAGAAAGATGTTACCTGGACGAATTTGTCTATCGGAATAGATTAAAGATTGATCTACGCTTTGAAAATTATACAATTTAATATCGAGAGGATTCGGAGGAAAGCTTTTCAAGAGAAGGTTCGTGAAGATAACAGAAACGAATTGTCAGAAAGTGTTTCTTCAATTTCCTTTCGGGACGAAGAATGTCATGAAAGAATAATTTAAAAATCTGCTGTACTATTGCGAAATTTTCTCCATCCCGAGAGAATCGAGGCTTTGAACCATTCGTTGTTCGCTATTGTGAAATTTGTCAAAAACCGAGATCGTTGATTAGCTTATCAGCGAAAATTCTACAATAGTACTTCATGATAACTTTAAATCCCCTTCCAAAATCAATCTCTTCTACCCGTATCTGTACCCGTGAACCGCACAACCGGAAGCAACAGAACTGGATTAGCGTTTTTCCATGAACACGTAATCGCCTGGGAATACGGCTACAAAGTGGCGAGGTTCACGGACTGCGAGTCCGATTAAAACTTTAAATCTGAGAATCTACAGTGGCGCGAGCTCGATGGTCAACTAATTCCCCGAATTTGCGGTAGACTCACGAGCTAAACAACCCTCGTCTCTCCAGACACGTGGATTCTTCGAAACCGCGGAACTTCGATACCCACCGTCGCGTGGTTACATTCTGCACCTACACGAGAAGTTTTTTTCCACGGCAAATGTAAAAACAGATCGACTTTTGGCTTCTATCAGCTTAGAGACTTGAAGCTACATACAGATCCGCTTAATACATTTAGTAAAACTTTGACATTTGAAATAGTAGATTACGAATTTTAAATTCTACAGATCTTTTTGATAGACGGAGAATTCGTACGTTCAACGAAATGATAAAAATTTCGTCTGATCGTGGCTGCGACAAGAAACTGCAAAAGAAGTACCGCCATACTTTTTTAAATCAAAGTATTTGTAATATCATGACATATATATTACACGAAACGAAAATCTTTATAATTCCGCAAGAGTGTAACAAATACGCAAATCAAAATAGTATATGATTCAACATTTTCCTAACTTAGGTACGTTGTTTCATCGTCACCTATCATTTAACGTCATGTACATTACGGTGAACATCGCATGTAAAAATCTTTCCATAACTACGATTGTAAAAATAAGTCGATAGGTTCGTGACATTCTATCGACTTATATAGACTCAGTGAAGCAAGCGTTTTGTAATCCTGCTTGATGAATGCACACGCATAGCCGGCAGTCACAATTCCCCGCGTGATCCCGAATAACGGAAGGGCGGTTATCTGTCAAGGAAATTGACAGCGAAACGGAACACCCAAGCCAACGCTGTACGTACAGTTGCCTCGCGCGTTCGTTCGTTCGTTTCCTTAGGCATCCCTTCGGGCAGAAATTCATCATCCAGGCTTGCTAGTCGGCGGGAACCGAGAAAAAGAGAGAGAAAAGACGGGAGGTTCGTCGAACGAACGTCCGTTTCTTTCGCGCTTTTTATTTCCATCCGATTCTGGCGGAGGTGTTCTGGCGGAGGATACTCGGTAATGGGCGTTGGGTGACGCGGCAAGTACGACGCCCGATAAGAACAGATAACCGGAGAATGAAATATCAGAAGGCACGCGAAACATTCAACGGCATCGTTGGCGGAACTGTCGATCGCGTTATTGATAGATCGAGCCTAACGACGAGGCGCATATCGCAGGTAATCTCTTTAAGGACATGAAGCATACAGAGTGATACGCAAAACTTTCGCGAAGCTTATTTAAATCAGAGAAAAAAAATATTTGGGGAAAAAAGGAGATCCACTAATGGATTTAACATCGTTTAATTGAGTATTGACTAAATTTTAAATTAAATAAGTAGAGTTCTACCGTGTAAAGGAAACAAAGATGGATAGCTCAAGATGGACCTTATACTCATTCGACAGCTACGTGAAAAAAATACTAGAGTGACATGGCTTGAAAATTGATGAATTCAAAGTGTATTTCAACTTTAATTTTTTATTTGAAACTGGTTGAACTCGAAGAAAACTTAAAGGTCTCCTCTCGCCTTTTATAGAATAAGTTTTACGAAATGAAAATTAAAATATCTCTTGAACTATCGTTTTCTTGATGTAGAACGAATTATTTAGAACGACGAGAGAATGTACGTGAAAGAAAAGCGAGATTTTTTACGTGCAATTGCATGTAAAATGTACGTGCATTGCGATACTTGTGCAAATACGCTTCAGCGTAAAGTCCATTCTTACATAACTGTTTCTTTCAACTTCAACTAAAAATAAGATGCGACCGGCATGAATCAGCTTGTAGGTAGGCTATTGTACGAGTGTCACTGTACCAGCGAGAATTCTCCTCTTTCTTCCTCGGTTTTTACAACGTTACGGGGCTGTCAGACGATGAATAGAAACGTCTACGATCAGCAGATTTTTTTTCTACTAGAATGAAGCAGTCTTTGGAAGAAGCCGAAGCAGTGTAATGCAATCATTTATATTCCCTTTAGGAGAACGACCGAGAAATGACTTTTGTCGTCTTCATTTTCTCGTAAATCTTCGCCTTGTCGACGTTTCATCTCGTTAGAGGAACCCGTCCCCGTTTTATCTTCATCCGTATTCCCGCGGGTTACTACGGCCCGCGTGGAAATACGCGAGGAAAACCGCGCGCGGTTAAAGGCATCGATAAAAATTTAATATCAAGCTTAAGAACATGCATAAAACTTCTTCTCTAGTAAAAATGAAGAATGTTTCAATATGAACGCTACGTGAATACTTTATATATATATATAAAGTTAAAAAATTAAAAATATATAAATTTATATAAAGAAACCATGAAGCTGAATCCACAATAATGACTTCCGTAGTTACAAAGTGCAATATTGCGCGCAACGTGCGTAAAAATTATATAAAAATATCGCGAAATATCCAAAGTCCTTTTTATAACAGTTTTATCCCTTTTCATCTTGTCCTCTGCCCTTCATATTAAATTCTTTTTATAATTCCCCGCCGTGCTTCCATTCTTTCGACTATATTTTCAGAAATGCGAATTCACAAGAAAAATCCTGTCTACGCCGCCTAACGTAATTCCGTGCTGCTCGTTCTCCCAGTGACAACTCGAAAATCGCGTTCTCTGACTCGCTCGTCACTGTCGCTACGAGGCGTACGACGCGGTGCATCCTGCGTTCCCAGCGGTCTTTTGTCTTCAGGACGACAGTGCCGACCGTGCAGTCTCGGCAAGCGCGTCGCGGTAGGGGATGCGACCCCATTCTCCGAGCCTCGGCGATCGAAGGCCTGATTGGTTCATTGCCTCGTTCACCTCTCGATGATCGTCATTGATTTAGAAAGGGTGAACGCGGGGGCACGTTATCGAGGGTTCGTTAAAGGGGCAACATCGAGAGGAGAATTATTTCCGGCCTCTCAAGTCCGCTCTTAACTGCTCCTTTATTCCGATTACGACCGAGTCAGCTCGCGAAGTCTGACTGACGAGCGGTTGGTCGCCACTTCTGCTTGGTGGTATTCCCCGTTTCAAGAGGAATTTGCCACCTTGAAACATTCCAACGAGAGAGAAATATTTTCTGTCGTTAGAAACGATGTTGGGTGGAGAAGGATAAGAGAGAGGGGGAAAGGTTGGATGGTAGAGAGGAATAGAGAGGATGATTAACCTTTTCATGCTCGACGTTGCATGTACATAATACGTACTGCACTTTGAGATGTTGGTAGTTAAACGAGTGACACGTGCATCTGTAGATTACAGACGAAACAGATGGATTACAGATGGATTCTAATTTCAAGAAACTTTCCCATTTCGTTGGTTCGACTTCTCTGAAAAACTGAATTGATCGTATTCGCAAGTGGAATGCAGATGTCTGTGCGATTTATATTTCAGTTGAAGAAATTGATTTTAAATAGAAATTCATTTTATTCTACATGTCAGCTTTAAATATTTTATGACAGACTTTAATTCTAACGGATTATTCAAATTTCACTGCAATCTAATATCTAAAAGGGAGTGTGTACATGTAACGTATTATACATTACAAAAGGAGAAATAGCACGCGAAATCGAAAAATAAATTGACAAATCCAAACTAAAATTGAAAACGAAAATTGGAAATCAAATGGGAAACGTCTCTTCTGTTTTAAAAACTGTACCCTCGTTTCGAGACATTCGAACGAAATTGTTTTATTATAGAAAAATTGTTTCCCCCTAGGGAGGAGCACAGAAATACGATTTAAATCGCCGAAAATTCTCAATTTCCGCAGCGTTACACAATTGCACATCTTTGGAATCATAGAAATCGTAAGCACCGTGGGAACACGCGACACGTAGCTACGTTCCCCTGGAAATTCTTATCTTTTCTTCCCCGAAATCGTTCTTTATACAAGCCTGAACTCCGAATGCACGTACACCGATATACAGTTGACGGAACTGTACGATCCGTCGAGCTCTCTGGAATTTCTCGAGCTCGAGTTCAGGCGATGACGTATCAGGGAGTAATTTCTCCGTTACCCTAGAGAGCGGTCTTTTGATTTAAATAATTGGTAGATCGAGTGCGATTCACGCTCCAACGAGTCTCGGGTATTCAAAAGGTGCATCGCGAGATAACACGGTTCTGCAAGTTGGAAAACTCGCCGCCACTCTCTCTCTCTTGAGGTCGTGTCGCGTAGGCGATCGAAACGAGGGCAAAGTGGAACGAGCAAGGAAGGTAACTGGACACGGCGAAAGCCACCCTTCGATTTAAACTTCTATCATGCTACATTTACACACTTTTCATTCACATATAGGGCTAAAATAATTTCTAGTCGTTGTTAATTATTAAATATAGAAGCAGGTAAGTACTGCACTGAGGGACCGAAAGAAAGTTTTCTGACAAAGATTAATAAACTCGTCGATTATTTTTCCTGACAATTTACACGTTAAGTATCCTTAAAGTT